GATTGGAATATACTGGATAGGTATCTTGCAACAAGTATATAAGTATATACCTAAGTTATTATATGTAGTTATTATATGAATCGTCACTTTCAATATCTTTTGTAGGATCCCAATTGTGACAGACCATCAGGCACTGCAATGGCTTTAAACATGAATACATTATATTTTACATTACATATTCTGTCATATTTTAATAATGGAAGGCCCAATTTAGAGTAAACACTTTTTTAAAAAGTATGTTTACCAAACACTTTTACTATTATGCCCTTTGTGTTAATCTTGTTTGATCCTAAATATTATTTATAGAAAGTGTTTAAATTTGTTTATTTGGCATGGAATGTAAAGATTGTGTTGAAGACAATGGTGTTAGTCCCACGTCCAAATTCACAATCTAGCACTATTCTATATTTAGTAAGTTTCAAATTTGTCCTAAAGATTAACTCCTGGTACTAAAAGTGGCTAAGGGTGAAAGTTCCTCAACAGGGGGTTTAAATGTATAGTAGGAATAGTAGGTAAGTTAAGCATGGTTGATTAATCTGAGGTATAATTTAACTCCCACTTACGTGTTTGTTTTTGTTTTACATTTGACTTGGGTCTAAGCCCAAGTTCCACATTATACTAGCTGGTGAAATACTTATATTCTTGCGTTAGGCCACTGGAATACTAAAATAGTTCCAAATTTCATTTAGCTCCATTTGTGTGTTAGTCCTGACATTGGGATGTTGGATGCAATTGTTCCAAGTTATTTCGTGCTTCTATCCCTTTGCTCTTTGGGCTGTACGCTTAGAAGTCATTCTGTGCTCTAGTATTGTTGATGTTTAAATTTGAGTGAAATAGGATATTTATCCATAGAATTGATATTGAGTTTGATTAGACTCAATACATATAGTATTAATAATTTGGCTATAGCTTTATATTATTAGCATTCATGTATTTGCTAGTTAATAATTATATTAGCTTTCAAATGAGTTGAGTGGCAAGTTTGAGTTAGTTGTGTTCTAAATAAGATTATTTAGTAAGGGTTAAGCTTTTAGCTTTTCCTTGAAAAATAATTGAGTTGTGGACTATATTAGCTTTGCAAAAGAAAAAGATTTTAAAGTTATTGATTCCTTATTGGATTTGAGTTGAGAATATATTGATCATTGATGATTTCTCTTGTGTTTGTTATGAAATGAATTATATTTTATTATGCACAAATAAATTTATGGAGGATTGTTTAGTGATCACTTATTAAACATAACTTTGTTGTGCTTAGCTTTGGATTGATGCAAATATACTCTTCTTTAGTTTTGGCATTATTAAGTGTAGCTTCTAGATGTGTTAAGAAGGATATTGTGGGTTGCACCATGATTTTTTGTTTAACATTAACATTAGTTTATATGAGACTTGTGATCATTGTTAGGTAGAACTTAAATATAAGCTTCTTTAAACTTTATGTTCTTTGAGTTTTATACTTTATGGTCTATTTGTTAAAAGGTGTTAGGGAAGGCATTTTTGGTTTATTATCTTCGATGTTAAAGTTAATATTTACATCTAACAATCATTGATAATGATTAATTATCATCTAGAATAGTTGATCATCCTTGTCAAAAGTTTTGCTTGATTATTATTGATATATAATGATTACTGGTCTTTTGGATGGTGGATTCTTTATTTAACAATTATGCATCTCTCTATTGATAGAATGATTGATAATCTTTCATGATAGTTAATTATTCAATTTGATGGCTTTTAGCTTTTCGCATTACCATATATTTTTGTGTGGATTGTTTTGGATTAGTCTCTTGAGTTTTAGACATCGGTAAAATGTTGCTGACACTTGCTTAAGCAACTTGAGTTCCTTCGTATTGTTGATTGAGATTTATTCAAGTTGGCTAATGTAATAATTAGCATAATTAAGTATTTATTGATCTTGCCACATTCATTTTGTTTTGTTTATTATTACTATAGTTACTTTTGATAAATTTGATGTTTTTTCCTTTGGGTGATATATTCATGAGGATTTTGCTCACTAGTCAATACGTTCTGTAAGTTGTCTTTCATAAGTTGTTTAGCATACTATTTGTAATTTTTGATAGCTAAATTTTATCATTGATTGTTCTTGATAGTATACTTGTTATTGAGTTTCGTGGATGGTTAATCTTATGTGTTCTAACTATAGTGATCTTGGTGGTTCCTATACTATAATTCTAGTTTATTGGATGAAAACTGCACTAGAATACTTAAAATTAGCTTTGATGTAGCTCTTCCATCATGAAGAAATATAGTCTATAAGCTTTGTCATAAAAAAAAATCAATTTTCACTTTATTCTTACAAGGATTGTGAGACTAATAACTTTCCCACAATTCTAACCAAGAATGAAGTTTTGACTATCATAAACATCTATTGATAATTTCCATTCCATGATACTATAATCTTTGGCATGTTTGATATACCAATAGTAATCATGAATACAAGATTGATTCAACCTTTAAGGTCTAAAAAAATTAAAAAATCTTTAATGAGATAAACAAAATCCTTGAACCTCAATAATTTAGCAACTTTGCCACATTAGAACATCATTAAAAATCTTGGCTATCACTTATGCCATACTCCTCATCAAGATCTATATCCCATTCATTTACCATCCTTAAAAGAATATATTGCTCCGATACTAATGAAACAAACAAAGAGTGAATCCTAGGCCAACCTCCCAACTTTTAAAGCATTACAACTTTAAATCCCACAATCCATAGAATAGTGTTAACTTTGGACTCATTATAACATCTGAATAAGTATATCCTAGCAAGAGCTCCTCAAGTGCCATTAGGGAAACCATGCACTAGCAATTCTTATTCAAATCTTGAAGTGTCTTACATGAATCCCTATATTCATTTTCTGCCTTTTATTTTGATTTTTGGGCCAAGAAAGGTCAAACCTTGTTTTGTAAGAAGTTTTCACAGCCTTTGTTGGCCACAGTGTCATTCCCCTAATCTGTACTCTTGGGGGTCATTGGAAGACAATTGTCACATCTGCATACTTGCATTCCTTGCAGTGGGTGTTATATTGTGTTCACATATGATACACTTTATATTTTACAGGAGATAGGTTCACCAAAAAACAAGACACAATACTTTTCTTTTTTCTACTTTGGAAGTGTTCATCCTACATAACTTTTAGTGTGGGATCCTGTGGAGATACATCTAAATGGTACCATTTTGCTGCCATCACTTGTATAAAATCTCTAGCTGGATTGTCTTGCCATCTTAAGTTACAATTCTTAGCACTGTCCATTGTTTCTTTCAGTGATCTTTTGTTGAGAGGAAAAAAAATATCCCTGCTGAGAAATCGTGAGTATGGGTCTGGAGGTATAGGACAATTGTGACAGATATGTATCCTTATGTTTATATTAATATAAATATGTATACAATACAATATCCTCTTGTCACCACAGTTATATGTACAGCTATAGTGTACACTTTTATATTCTACAAGGGCTAACAAAGGATCTCACCAATCTTCCTTGCAACGAGCAAGTATTGACAACACGCACAACAGGTTGCAGGGGATCGAAGACGAACAAAGAGAAGATGAGGGACCACAGAGAGAGAAAAATCCATGCATTGCATGATAAGTCCCATGCCTCCCAATACACTTTTTATATTTACTGACAATAAAGGTTTACTTGTTAAATAAGTTTATTTATCTGGTCCCACTTAGGAAATAAGTTTTTAAAAACTGTCCAAAACATTTGTAGCGGTCTATTGTCCCTTTCAATGATCTTTTGTGGGTCAGAAGGATCTAAATCCCTTGTATTATGATGTTTTGGACGAATATATATGCATTAAATCTGCACCTTAGACAGACGAGCAGAAATAGCATATTACTGAGAATGTCACTATAAATTCTATCCTTAATTGCTTTGGAAATAACACTTTATGATTTAATAATCTTATATTTTCTTGACAAGATTCTATGACTTGCAAGAAACACATAATTCTTATTTATAATTTCGTACTGTGATCACTTCAACACATGCATCTGTGACATTATTTCCACATTATGGCATAGTCATATTAAAGCATACTTCTATTATTAAATTACAACTCAAAAGGACTTTGTCATGTGATCAAATCTAGGACGGAATAAAAATTATACATTGCTAGCAGAATGTAATGAAGATTTACTGCATCCACAATGAACAGTCCTGCCCTATTTTCTGTTTAGCTCATGTGATGAAAATTAGGTTAGGGTTAGGGCAACTGCCGGCATTAGAGTTTTACAGAAAATTGTCTTCACAGAAGTCCTTGTGAATCCCTGATTCAATGAGTGTAAACGCAGTGATGCAGGCTAGCACTTCCAGGAGTGGCTTAAGATTTTTAAAGCCTATCCATTCGTTCTCATCTCAAGGAGCCTTTCAGCTTGCAGCTCCACAGCAAAACCAAAACCTTGAGCTGCCTCATCGACTTCATGTTTCATTGGAGGCTTTGGAACGCTCCAGAACATCACTCCATGATTTTGTAAGATGTAGTTGCAATTGTCATGACTGACAAGCGCGTGCTTTTAGTACATCTCACATTTCATGTTCCATGGCCTGGATCCCGGCAACCACGAACACAACTTCAAGTACTTGCCAGTTCTTGCTTTCACGGAGGCTTATGTGTATGAGGTCTGTAATTCCAAGAGCCCTATGGAGTATCTGAATTGTTATGGGCACAGGTCGATGTAGAATACGAGAAAGCTCTCAAGAAAATGCAGGATATCCATGACCCAGTCAATGACGTGGATCCCTTTTATGGGCTTAAACTGGAACTCACGGCTCGAAATCTCTGGACGGATAGGTACGTCTGATGTCCATTCAACTGGCTCAATCATTGCTTGAAACAATGCAGGATGGCAAATGAACTTTTGAAAGGATGCCATTACTTGAAACTAGAGCAATCCATTTGTCATTCCAGTCCAGAAGATCAAATTTCAATCCTAGATGCTCGCAGAGCTTTGGAGTTCAAATCATTCGACTACAAGTTGCTCAACCCCTTGCTTTACAAAATGAGGGGAGAAGAGGTGAATGAGTTCCACTTCGGCTTTCTAGAGTTGTCAAATCGTCTTGTGGAGTTAGCAGATAACTTGTAAGTGATCCCCGTGGATTTGTTGTCTGATTAACTTCCTTATATATATTTGCAGGTCTGATTACGAGGTGAGTTACAAAAGGCTTTAATGATTTCCCCTGCGGATGATGAATATAGGAGGACGTCAAAGACAACTCATTCAACATAGTGTGCGTGTTTTACAAAGTTTATGGACCAAAACTCGGTTCACAAATGCTGGTGCGTTGGCAACTGGCTTTGATTTTAACTCGTATTGTCCTACAGGCTGAGTACATTTCCGCTGTTAAACTACGGTTTGAAGAAAAACTAAACAAGCTAGAGCCGGAGCTGAGAGAAAAGTTCCCAATTCGTTATCAAGAGGAGCTTTCGAGAGGTACTAACGAGTTTCGATATAAATCCTTAATTGGTTGTGTTCTAGGCAAAAGCATTGCGGAAACCTGGGAAGTGCCCCCATTTATCGATGAGACACCTTATAGCGCTTTGGTATCAAGCAAATGATACACTAAACCAGGAAATATGGGTTTGAAAGGTCGACAAAGCGAGTAAAGTCTCATACTAGAACATAAATTCTCTCTAGGACATTCTAGGACTCTTTTCTTGTCGAATAGGTGTGTCTTCCGTGGTACTCCTCTCCATCAGTCTCAAAGCTTCACGAAACAAATCTGCTGATGCTTCATTGTCGCCCGTGACGTGAATATTGTTCCGTATGAAAAAGGCTACAAAGTTAATACCCGTCATGTACTTTGCTTGCACCAATGCCGACATTACAGCTCCAACCTATCTATCGCTGGGTTTCTCCTTTGCAAGCTTAAGAGCCCTGAAGAAGAAACAAAACAAATGTGAGAGACAACTTCAATCACAGTGACTCAACGTTTTGTCAACGTGAATGCCACGGTGAGCTGGAGCAGGAGAACCAAAATCTGGCTGTCCAACCAATACTGCAATCGCTGAATAAACGAACAATCACATTAAAGTGGAATTTTGAAAAATACCATAATCAAAATGATCAGACAATTGGTGGGGGCTAGGGCGGACGAAAACTGTTGAGACTGACGTATTCACGGTCTGTATTCCTAAGGTGGCTGTTTCTGTGTATCAAGAGTCGTTTGTCGAACTCATTTCAGGTCCGAAACACAGCCAGCAGCGGAAAGAAGGGAGGCAAGAAGAAAATATAAGTTTTTTCAATTCACTTTGATCTGATTCCTTAGATAGGGATTGGACGACGGCAAATCGTGTTTGTGTAGCTTTTTCTACCGGACTCAATTTAATTCGATTCGCTCCTGTGCTTCTATGGTCTCGCAAAGATGAGGATCACGCCTTCCGCAAGGTCAAGTGAGGATCAGAACGTTCTCACGAACTTCTGGGTAAGAGATGTTTTTGTCCTCCTTTTGTGCTAGCTTCAGTGTCTAGATTGCAGCATGCAGGAAGTGGCAGATGTAATGCAGCCTCAAGACGTAGGAGTCGTGACGAGAAGCTCAATCGCTGCCACGACGTGGTTTCCTGGACGAAATGCTTCTCAAAGGATGACAGGATCGAGGAGATAGCGAGATCACATATTCTGATCCGGCGAGACGCCCAAGAGAGCAAGAGCATGGCGCGGGAGAGTGGGGGCTTAGGGTGAGGTGCCTGACCTCGGGTGTCCGAGCTCAGCCCGGGTACCACGATCATAATTCTTCCCAAAAGTCTTTGGATTCTCTCGAATTCTAACAAAGTGAATTCCAGTCTGCTCCAATTGAAGTTTTGATGGAATTTTTTACATGATCCCCCCAACTAAAGGTCCAATCGAACTCTCCATCCGGAAAATGAGAGGGTATACAAAAAGACTGTCACGATTATTGAGGTTCATAATCCCATCCTCGAGGATACGTTTCCACTTGCTCATTGATCTAGTTACCTGCAAAGACAAAGTCAACTCCATCTCTAACTTCAGACAACCAAACCTTCTCAAACTGCGTTAGTACGAGATGAGTTGTCTTTGGCTCCTCTCCAGCTTGATCGATGTCGTTTAACTCGTCCTCCTCATCGTCATCTTGTTCATTCAAGGGAGGCTCTGATCCTTCGGAGTCCACACCTTCCACTTGTGTTGCTGTCGCTACCAGAGTCTCGTTAGCCGGTTCTTCTGTAGGTTACAATGAGCCTGGCGACGAAGGTTCACAGTCGGATCCATAGTATCGCTCGAAACAGCTCCACGCCGCGGGGTTGTGGCCGTTCTGTGCGTACGCCGCGGCCGTCTGGATCAAGCTTGGGAAATCTTCGTGACCATGCAGCAGCAGCAGCGTCAGTGCTGGAACGCGATGATGGTGGCATTTGCCATACATGCCGATCGAGTTTCCGTTGTTCGAGCAGCCAGCAGCCAAGGTTTCGTGAATCTTTGCCTGCCGGACAGAAGACACGTTACATCCCCCCAGCGCCGCCCATTGTCGCAGACATCTCCAGGCTTTGCCTGGATCAAGCCCGTGATCGCAGCATTTCAAGCCGGGACGTCTCGGCAAGGAATCCTGTCCAGCACTTGTCCGGAATGCCCGAGAAGACTTGCATGGCTTTCTGGACATGCCCGCGGCTATCATCCCAGTCCAAGCCACTAGTAGCCACCTGTAAGTCGTCAAGCAGACAATTGGCGTGATCATGGCATTGCTCGTGTGTAACAATTCCAGTGCTTCGCGCACGCAGTCGTTCTGGGGTAGGCCTGGATCATGGAATTCCACGAGACCACATTCTTTCGAAACAAAGTCTCGCCTCCTTCACTTTCCAGCTCAGGCTCACCATCGCAGTAAAAGTTAGAACTTCTCTCGCGAGAACCGTCTCTTCAAACACGCTCCCGAACGCAGCCCAGGAAACACCATTCCGGAAGCTCATCCCCAATGGTGTTTCCTGGGCTGCGTTCATCAGCTCTCGTGCCCCCGTGATGCACATGAGCTTGGAATTCCAGGCCATGTCATTGTGTTGTGGCATCTTTCCAGCAAACCAACCGCCTCATCGAGAGCTTGCAGATGTAAAAGCCCCTCAAGCATAACCATTGTGAAGCTTTGCCACGATAACCTTTCTGAGCACAGCATACCCGTCCAGGACACGATATTCTTGTCCCGAGTGCCCTCAAACAAAAGCCATGCCTCGTAGAGAAATCCACCACCATTGTGTTCCAAGAGATGGTGCTGGCATATCCTTAGCATGCCGTATGTGGTGATATCACAACCGTTCCAAGACACAACGTCCCACATGGCCATTGCATCCAACACCTTCTTTTCCTTTGAAACGGCGAGCACGCAGTCATGAGTCCCCGTCCATGAGTCAGGCATGGTCAGATTGCCCAGTCCGGGCATATGCTGCTATGAGAGGATTTGAGGCGTGCTCTTGTGTGGCATCTGCTCAAACAGTTGCCTCGCCTCGTCCATTGATCATATGAGACTGTGTCAAACACGAGTCAAACAATCCCTGGTGTAGCTGATGCACCCATTGCAGACGAGCTCCACGATGATTGTGTTGTAGGAGAAGGAATTGAGCTGCTAAATGCTTTGATCCAGCCAATGCTGCCGCCTATGTCTTACTAGCAAACATCCAGGTGGATCTCCTTTCCAAGCTCTATCAAGGAATGGAGATGGGGTGCAGCCGCATTTTGGCCATAGCTCACCATCTTCAAGCTGCGATGATGGTGAGTCACTCTGCTGGTGTTGCTGGTTTAGACTATTAGTCTTTTTAATATTTCAGTTATTAAAAGGATTTTTAAAGTTGCTTTGCTTATTAGCAAGAGTTCTTGTAAGAAATGTTTATTAAAATTTAATATAAGCATGATGCATTATCCAAAATAGTAAATACTATCTCATTCATGAAGCTATTTAGCGATTTTTTGGATGAGTTTATGGAGTTTATTAATTTCAACTCTTTTATCACTAATATTTGAGCAAAGGTTTTGTTAAGGGATATCTTTACAGATATGAAGGGTGACAAATTTGCATCATTTAAGATACACGATGGAATTCTGGTGAAGAAGGGACATGTGGTGATTCCTTATGTTGACAAACTCATTAAATAAATTTTGGTTAAGTGTCATGATGTGCTAGGTATTGGGCATTCAAGGGCACTAAAAATATATATATTGGTGAAGAGGCATTTTTTTGGCCTAAGATGAAGTCAAATATTAAAAAGTATATATATGATTGTTTGACTTATTAAAAGGTTAAAGTTAATCATCAAAAGTTTGCTAGTCTCTATCATCCTTTACATAAGCCACTCGTGGACAAGTTATTAGTACCTTAGAGGAGCTGCATGACATAAACTCCCCCAAGGATGCTATTTGGGTTATTTTGGATCATTTAACAAAGATGGCTCTAGTGAAAATAACAATTAAAACTTTTAAACTTGCTTAGTTTTTTATAAATTAATTATTCAGCCTCTATAGTTTGCCAAGTGATATTGCGAGTGATCGAGATCTCAAATTCACTTCTAAGTTTTGGCAAATAGTCTTTAAGAAACTAAAGACTAAGTTGAGTATAAATAGTGGTGAGCATCCACAATTAAATGAGCAAACAAAGCATATGAATCAGATGTTAGAAGATATAATAAGGTTTTTTATAGGAAACTTAACTCAACAAAGAGCACAGGAGTACTACTTGTCTTTGCTCATAATAGCATTCATTAATCAGTTATTGGTGTGTCTCCATTTATGGTGATGTATGGTTATAAGGCTAAATCTCCTATGAGTTTGACTTTGACTTTGGTTTGGGTACTTTATGCTTGTGATTTCTTTATGCAAGCCAAGCTTGAGTTGGCAAAACTGAATATGAGGCAAATTCAAGATTGAGACAAAAGATTGGTTGATAACTATCATCATTATCAAAAGTACAAAGTTAGTGACAATGTTTTTCTTAAATTATTAATTGCATAATGGTCTTTGAAAAAAGGTGGTAGTGTTAAGTTGTCTCCATAATATTGTGGGTCTTGGACAATTTTACAATGTGTGGGGGATCTTGCTTACACTTTGGACTTGTTAGCTAGTTTAAAGATTCATTTAACATTCCATATAATCATGTTAAAAGTGTGTTTGCACTCTAATGATCAATCCATCATCCAAGTCCCAAAGATTTATGTTGAGAAGGTTAGTCCAGCCAATATTCTTACTTAAAATATTGGTGAAAACTTGCCGTAAGATAATTTGGGAATTATTAGTTTGTAGAATAGTAATTCCATAAACGAAGTTATATGGGAAATTGATGATGATGTGAAGAAAGTGTTTTCAAGTTTTAACAATCCTAAGGAAGGGGAAAATTGAGTTCTATAACCATATTGCTATATGATTTAATCCATTTGTTTTGTTCTCATTCTCTTGTTTTCATGACTGTATTATCATATAAAAAATTTATATTGCTTTTTTTCTTTCATGGCTATTTTGTTACCATTTGCACATCCTTTCTCTATAGCTGTATTGCATTGGACTCCCTTCCTGTAAAACTCATTTAGCTTCTTGAGGCTGTTATATGTGGCTGGATCATAAAATGATACAAACCACAAGAATA